GCCAAAATGAAAGTGTGAAGCTAAGGAAGAACTGAAAAAAAATTGAAGGACTCAATTAAGGTGGAAAACGTTTACAATATTGAATAATACAAACTAGCCCAGTGAGTTTCAAATATCATTATTGAATGGCATGTTCATTAAATTATAAACTGTTCGGTGCCTGATAAGGTTTCTCAAATGTCATCACTTAATGAAATACAGTACTAAAGTATTACAAAGCTGTTGGGGTTTTACCCAACAACATGCTCTGTGAGATCAAGTTTAGCATCTCAATACTACAATAGAAGAAGCACGAATAAAAATAATAATTCCACGTTAGGTGATGATAAGACATTAATGTAGTAATGTGAATATGATAATTATTTGAATGATAATGGAATGATCCTCCGAATAGATCAGTGCACAGAGTTGACACAATTACAAAGTATTGACAAGATAATACGATTTGAGCATGTACATGTCGCCGCTCTACCGGCTTCGATGAATGAGTCGGATTAGAGATTGAGTCGTTTGAGTTGCCCGTCGATCAGGTGGGCCACGTAGTTCGTTTATCGGACGCGTAGATTTCGGGATGTTCACCGTCTGCGCAGATTTGCAGGACGTGTTCAGTTAGAAATCGAACTGACCTTTTTAGTAGTGGTTCGGAAGGTTCTTCATCGACGTAGTTTGCTGCGTTAGGTTCGAAGTCGGTGGACTCACCACATTTTCGGCCCTATATCTGACTCCAGTTTGATCGTGTGGTTATCGTTATCCACTTATACATGTAACCAATACTCGCATATAATTATCGACCTAAATCACCTTAGTGAATAACACAATTAAATAAGTTAAATACGAGAATGTATTTCAAATACGTGTGGTGGAGAAAGTGAGTGAGCCGACTAACTCTATTTAGCCAAGCGTGAATACAAATATATTGACGAACAGGAATCAGTTACACACACATAATGGGTGCAGTCAGGGTAAAAATGTGGGCTGAGTAGAATGAACAGATTGATCTGTTTGGAAGCTGGAATAACCTATGTAAACTTGATCTACCACCAGGCCTTACAGTTATTCTTATTTCTCATATTCTGGTTGACGTAATGTGTGTGACGTTATTGTGACGGCAGTAAATTTCAAGCCCATTGATAACCTATTCGACAGAATCGTTTACTGGTTTTACGGAAAAAACGCAGCTAATATTGTGCTTAAAGTTGAATCCATAGCTAGTCCACCATTCCGTCTATAATACATGTGACTGAGATCAAAATAAACGTTCAGTGTGTAATCCTTTGAGACTAGCCTCGGAAATTTCAGTACTGATTTGTTGCTCTGACAGTTGCTGAAACAAATTCAACTGTGTTAATTGGTGGTACACTGGACAAAGAAGAAATACCTAGGTTTATCATATGCACCTCCTTTAAATTCATAAATAATGGCTTCTCTGCTTTCCCATTGATGTCCTTAACGTAATCAGGTATTAAACTTTTGTTGGATCGTTCAACAGTGAGTTCACCTCATCAGTGCTGTGTATTTTAGTCTTTACAACTAATCCTCCAATTTAGTTTGATTTATATTTGATCAGCTGATTACCTTTTATGGTCCCTTGTAAGTATTTCAAACTCTATTGGTCACTAAACATTTCGTGGGAAACATTCATCAGAGAGATACCTAAAAATCAGACATACTAGATCCGTGAGTAAAACGCACGATTCGATTATATTTCGCACTGTTGTTATCAGTTGAATAAAGCGAGCACTTTAGAAACCTTTAGCAGCTCACGTGCAATTGAGTTTGTTGACATTTAATTTGGTCAAGCCCTTTTCTTAATTTATTTAGCGGATAGAGTCGCTCGTACACTAACAACTTATCTATACCATTGTACCTTTATTATTGTTGCACTTGTATGAGTATGTGTGCTTGAGCATTGCTTACTGCCTACGCATATATTCATTCTACTAGCTTTACTGTTAGTCTTGTAATTGATTTGTGATTCATTCATTTCCCTATGTCTGTGTATGTACATTTTAATCATGTTCATTGACTCGCCGACTCGCTCGCTTGCTCACTCGCTCAACCGTTTGCACGCTTGCTTTTCGGTACTACTCTTTCATGCTTGCTTAGCGTATCAGTAATATTTGTTATCTGTGCGTGGTGCAATAATAAACGTTATCAACACTTCGTATTCTCTTTCCGATTAATGCACCGTTGAGGCGTTATCTAGTGACGGTTATCAGGACGAAGTTTAAGGATTATTTGAATAACGACAACCACAAACCCATCTCCGATCATTGATCAGTCCAAATATTTAAACGAATAATGATATCAGTCAAATCTGAATTACGGAACATCTTGTGAAATCCTGTCGCGCTACCTCCAAAATGCATTTTGAAAAATATTGAGTGGAACACTTTAGAAATAAGTAGACTATGGGAGAAAACAATAATACTGTAAGTTCGAACAGCCATGATTCGAACTCGGATTTTCACATACATGCTGACAATCAAACGGAATTAGGTGATTCTAACAGTTGAGGTTTATCACACAAAATACTAATCTTCATTTAAGTATGCTGATCAAGCTCATTTAGTATAGATTGAAATGGTGACAATGTAGGCAGATACGAACAAATATTTCAGCTAAAATGTTTTCATGTAACCACAAAGTCACAAATGTTATTAGTATGTACCACGACTATGCGGAGTGAATATCAACAAACGAAAATCATACACTTGTTCGCCTTTTATGATTTACGTTAATTTCAATGTGGTTTAAATTCCTAATCTAATAGGAATGTGAAAACAATCAAGTATGTTGCACATTTTATAATATTATGAGAAAATTTAAGTGAACCAGTTTGGGAGATGGATCTATCTAGATGATCCTATTATCATTGTGCTATTCACTGCATGAAGTCACGATCAAACAACTTGAATTTATCACGAACATATTTTTACACCAATGTGGTGTTAATCAACAGTTGATATACAGGCATAAAAATGTCGTAGATGAGTTATTCCTTATGAGGTGGGATTATTGGCGCAATCCGTCAAATCAACTGATATTAAAAGACTGACATGGTGGATACCAAAACAGCTTATTGCTTTTAGTGCACTCAGACACCTATGCACACAAAGATAAATGTGATGAAATCTAATTCAAACGATGACTGATTGTAGTATACTGGTTCAGCAAGTCCCTCGTTCAATAGGGGAGTACAAATATATAGTCATCATGAAGAATACATTGAATATCATCTACCCCCAGAATCGACCTACGATCCACCTGTAAACATACTGTTAAAATTTAAAAAAATTCACCACGAATTTCCAAAGTTGGGTCTCATTGAACCAGTAGAGAAACTTTATTTATCCTTTATACACAAGGATCAAACGAATATGCACTAATAGTACAATTGACACCGAACTTCAAGATGTACGATAGATACTTATCGATAGTCGTTATCAACTTATAATCATTGACTTGAATCTGAAGCCAAAACAACAACATGAAATATTGTCAGTGGAATCAGAGAATATCGTCCTCATGAAAACTCAGTTTAAGGGGATGCTAGAGCAGAGATTCTGAAGAACAGACTTTCCAGATCACTGAGACAAACATTCTATTCGGTTGAAGTTTGTACTGTCTTCTCTAGTTGACCTACAGTTCATAGTTATATGTAAGAGAAAGTTTGCCTTTCGGCCAAAGCAATTTGTATATATTAGTTTGGTTGCTCTTTTGGTGTAAATTATGTATGTCGAACAAAATGAGCTCTCTGGAAACCCATCTCGCAATGTTCCTCCATCTGACTACTAAAAGTCTACTCAACCACGGAACATCTCGTTAATGCTGGTTTCACCACTTCACTAGTATTTTCCTATTAATCGGAACTTGTTCACAGTAGAGGTTCAAGCTATCCAAAAATTCAATTCTAATATTCATTTTAAAAACTGCATATCTAATCTTACTATATACCTTTATTTATTTTTCCTTAGTAATTTCCTGTGCTCTGTAGTACATTGTTTTTCTTTGTTTTCTGATTTTGCACATTTGACAATTAGCTGGTTGTACGATATTTACTTATTCTGTTCTCCACTTTATTTAGGTAGACAATAACTACTCATCTGTTGACTATTGTCATCCTCATATTTTTCTTCTACTTGTTGTATTGTTGTAAAATTTTCTTTCAATCTATGGAATTTCATAAATATTTTATGACTTAGTGTTACTTCAATTCTAATTATCTTTTGTTGACTGTGCACTACCTGTTAATTTAATTAGGCTAATAATTTCGATATTTTAATTTTTTCATTATTGTTGATGACAATACAATCAATGTGGGGTTGCATAAATTATTCTTATTTGCTGAAATCATGGAGTCACCTAGGTTAGACTACCACTATTGTTTCGTCCATCTATGAGATCCCTGAGCAGTGGACGGACATTCATGCCTTCATATAGCAAAATAGAATACACAAGTTTCGGTCCTTTTCAAAGAACATCATTTAAATAGAAGTAATGCGCAAACTATAATGTCAATCATCATTTACCACTAAGTACACCGAATTCACTGTCCTGATAACTTTGAACAACAACTTCTGTTCACCTGTTCTTCAGTTCTGACTAACTGACTATGACCAGAATATTTTCAAGATCTGTTATGCGTTATCTTTAAGAAACAAAGTAAAATGTGCATTTGAAATAATCTAATGTCTGAATACTAGTCTCTCAACTAGGCTAGAACTTCAACAAGACACAATCAAGAATTTGAATTTGATGTAGGCAGAAAGAAATTGTTCTGTATTATTTTGTCTGAATAAGCCATAACATAAAACATTTAACTGTACAATTACTGTTTTGTTTTCCAGCACACCCGTAGCACTTTGTCTCTCTCCATATATGTCTATAATGTAGTATTGGTTTATTTGTAGGTCTGTCAGATCCCAATTGTTCAGCATCCTGATTCTCACAAAAAATACACAAATTTCGAATTCAGTTGAAACTGTAGTTTAAAACTTTCAATTATTACTTCCAATATGTAACAAACGTTTAAATGCTTTTGCATATTCTTTATTACAAAATGCGTATATAATTGGATTACACATACTATTCAAATATGCTATCCAACCAGTAGCCATGTAAATTGTTTCTGACAATAGACATTCACATGCTCCTTCCATGAAATATAAAATGGTAAATGGAAGCCAGCATAAAATGAAACAACATACCACCAATGCTACTGTTTTTCACAGTTTTCTTTTCACTCTTGTATACAAGGCGTTTGCGTCGTTGGTAAATCATACTATTGTGTGTGTTAGAATACTTCGGCTTGGAATTCACAATTCGTTCATTCTGACTGTTTAATCTGTGTTCGTGTTTAGGTTGCTGATCGTTCTGCCGATCGTTCATAGAAGCGTCGACTGTTTTATTGATGGTATCTGTAGTTTGCAAAGTATAGATTTCTGTGTTCTCAATGCTATTGTGAATCGAAAATGTAGAAGAATCATCTGGATCAGATTTGGTCGTTGTATGCAACATTGATATTGGAGACATGTGAATATGTTGTGTGTATTTGCTAGAAGTTTCTGAGCACTCTCGTTCTATTTTTTCGGAACGCTTATTAGAGAATGGAGTGGACGAACTTTGACCGTGAGACTGATTTTCAGTATATTCTTTAGCAGTTTTACGTCTCTTACTGGGCGTATATGCAATAAATAAATTAGATTGTGTATAATTTGATACAAACAATTGACGCTGATTAGAGTTACGTGAACTGAAACAGTTCATTTTACGTCCAAAACTATGGTTATAAATATTATTCGGAATGAAAAGAAATTTAAATGTTCCAAATCTATGTTCTTTCGGATTAGATGAAAACTGACCAAATTCGAATTCCTTTGAACGACGTCGAATCACCCAAAATATACGAATGTAAATGAAACCGACTAACAAAATTGGTATGATGAATATCGAGGTTCCTCTGAGAAATCTGTATCTTGCATCACTTCTTATGTAACAACGGCCTACTCCCGTGTGGTGCTGGGAGCTAAATATAGTTGGGATCATTGCTAAGAAAGATGCCATCCAAGCACCTCCAATCATTGCAAATGCAGTACGACGTGTTCGCTTGCTGATATATTTCATCGGATAATTGATTGCAATATATCGATCCACAGAGATACAGCATATGTTCAATATCGAAGCTGAACACAAGAACACGTTGAGAGAGAGCCAGTATACGCATAATTCACGTGATTCATAAGGCCAATGACCGTAAACTTGACGCATAATGAAAGAGGTAGAATTAGGACTGCGACAAGTAGATCAGCCAAAGCAAGTGATACAATGTAGAGGTCAGTTATACGTCTCAATCCTTTAGTCGTTGCAACAGCTGAAATAACTAGTAAATTACCACAAAATATTAGAATGCTAGATAGGATTTGGAGAGAGATAATAATTATGTTCAATGCAAATCTCCATTCACTAAACATTTCACTTTCCACTTTTGTTAGATTAACGACAGCATTGACAACATTAGAATTTGTACTGAATAATCCACAAGAGATATTTTCATGACATGCCTCCATTCTATATTCATTTTGGTGGAAAGTGTTGTTATTCGAAAATAGGTGGTTCATTTGGATATTTTCTCTCAGAAGCTTTATTAATGGACACGAATCTTTGTTAAATTTCCAAAATGGACATTATTCGGCAACTTATCTCGAAGTAATATTTTGGCGTTTCATCCATAAATTAACATGTGCATCAATTTTTGAGTGGTAAAGTGGATTCACGTCGTCCTCATGACATTTACTACCAGACTGATACACCAATTAGAATTTTATTATTTAAGATCTAATTCCAGCTAGTCTTCTATATGACAGGATTAGTACAACTGTGTTTTGAACTTATTATCCACATGCGTCCCCTTTCATTGATGGGAAATGTTTCACACTTCCTAGTGCATACCTCAATCCCTTTATCCAATGATAATAATAGCAATCATCATAATGATAATTTTCGAAATTATATAATTGGTTAATGTCTGAATACCGATAGTTGATAGGTTTCTTTCACATACAAACAAATGACGATGTGAGAAATTACACTTGGATTTTAGGCAATGGTGATTTTTTATTTAGTTTACAATGATCGACAATTTACTTTATCAAGTGTTCTAAAATACATCAAACCAATTAAACTAGTTTTATTCGAAGTAGAAAAATTGATTGTTTATGCTCGCTGCACTATCCGATCACGTGATTATCGAATTCGCATATTTCGGTAGATGCTTGTGCTTCTTTGTTTGAATTCGTCTGCAGTTTACAGTGAGGGTGTTTGTGGAGATTGTGGTATATTTAATAGTTGAGTTCATCAGTCGATGTAAACTAGACCACCATTGAAAACCTGGATGCACTAGACAGCCTTCTCGTCCTACTATGGGACTGCTGATCAGTGCACACACACAATTCTGTGCGTGTGACTCGATACCAGGACCTTCGGTTTCGCACACGGGATCGTGGATGCGCACTGCTGAGTAGATCCATACAGTGACGAAACGGCCGTTAGGTGATCAAGTTTCAGATTAAAAGTAATCAAATTCAATTACCTACAATTTACTAGTTGAAAGTTAAACCTTCGTAGAATTAATTGCTTCCTTTTTGTGTTTATTTTAAATTAATTCTTCATGTGCGTAAGAAATTTTCGGTAATGTTAATCATAGCGATAACAATGACAGTCTCTATAAAATAATAATAATAATAATTCAGTCAGACAAATTTAAGCTGTGAAAACCGGTTGTCTATGCACATTGGCTGAATATGGTCATCCTAGAATTGATTATTTGTCAAATAATGAAAATGTATTATTTGTAACAATACCACATTAATATATAAGACTAGTTCAACTTAGCCCATTATCAAGCAGAGATGGATAGTGGCTAGCAGTGGAATCCAGGACGCGCGTTTCTTCCTGTTTGGGACTCGTCAGCTGGATGCACTTGTATCTCAGAGTTGATGTTCACTCTGAGGCTTGGACCCAAAACCGTTCACTTCAAACGCCACAGAGTTATCCACTTAGCTACTGAGTCCTCATAGCCACCTGCATCAACTCTGGAATGCAGGTACATCCAGATGATGAGTCCCAAACAAGATGAAAAGCGCGTATTGGATTCCACTGCTAGCCTATATCCATCTTTGCTTAAAAAGCTTGTGACTTAAGGCTATTTCGAGGCAATCCGCACAGGATCCACATATGCCAACAACAGACTGATTAGTTGCAGTCCTAAATAACAATGAGAAGATACAAGTAAAGCACCATGAAGTGAATTTATCTTATTATTGTTTCCCACTAATACTACTGATGAGTTTATCAAATATAAACGGGAAGATTTCAGATGTATTACGGTTATGTTACACCCAGGAAATATAACATCTAGGATGCGGTCTTAATCTTAAAATCAAGTTTAATGTAAGAAATATCTATTCCATGTAAAGTATATGTCATGGACATGTGTTTGAAGTTGAATAACTAGTTATAATATCGCGTTCACTCTCCAAATTTATATCAGTGCCTTAAAATATGGAAGTTTTATCACTAGAGAAAGTACTTGATTTCAACCATATTGAGTTCAATATTTCCTTGTAGAAATTCGTTAGAAGTTTGTTCGATACAACATGTGTGAACTGTCGTTCAGTGTGACAACTTTATTTTCTGTACCGATTCAGGTGAACTACATTGATTGTTTCACTTCAGTGTTCGTATGTATTGCCGTGCACATGTGTTACTACTATTTACCCTGGTAACCCTTAATTAATTTTATGGTCTAGGATGACGCGATAATTTCTTATTTTTTCTATACGATGTAAAAAGTGTTTCTCTCCCCTTTAGTACCGTTTCTACATGAACTTTCATTTAGCTGACCTTTATTAATTTTCATATAAAATGTCCTGACTAGTGTATGTGTGACCAGATTGTTCGAAATGTATAGCGCAAATACATCGCATTTTTCAGATGAACTCCGTCTTGTAATTGCTTTATCAAGATTGCATTATGGTCTGATGATGATGTTGTTTCGAATGGGATTTTGAGGCTTGTTTGGAGATGTGATTTTGGGGAGTCAGCAACTCTTCTTTCCACCAGCCTTTCGTGTTTCTACTCTGCGTCGTGGGAATTGTAGTAGTTACCGATTACTAATCAAAACCAGTGAGACAGACAAGAGTCAAAAAGTATAGGACAGTGACGACTCCTCAGAAATAACAGTAAGTTACCCATTTGAAACAGTCCCAACGGAGTCAATTTTACAGTTATAATAATTACTTTGTCAAATGATGTGACACCGTTGCATATTTTTACAGACTATAATATTGGATACTTGAAGGCATTTGATTATATTTGATAAATTTATTCAGTGATGCAAAAAACCTACATTTATTCATAGAGTATCTGTTACATCCTAGTGAAGATTAAATTACTGGTAACTACTGAGAACTATTAATGGACTAATGTTACATATATTATATATATATTCCTCTTGTATAACTGTTCAGTAACTAGATTATGTATATCTATATCCCACTTATTATAAGCTTCACTTTGACCTATAGATTATTATTATTATTATTATTATTATTATTATTATTATTATTATTATACGATTTACTGTTCCTATATTATGTTCGGTTTATTAATTACCGTCTCCCACGTTCACAGACACATTTTGGCTTAATTTTGTATAAATGTTATTACCTATTTTATGATGTGATGTGGTTTGTTTGGCTGGTACATAGACCATGTATGTTTGAAATAAATGATTCGGATAGTGGGAACTGTTATTAGCGTTCTGGACTCAACTACAAGGGCTAGGAGAACGAAGGACCAATAAGGACACTAGGCTGTTCGTACCGGTCGAACGTCATTGAATTGGTACAGTACTAAGTTTGTATAAGTCGTATTTGGATTGGCAAATAAATCACGTGATAATTAGACAGGATCAGTGATACGGCAGTACCATACATGATTGACCACAAATACCAAGCTAAATCCCGAGAAAACGTGGTCGAATAAATCATATGATAATTAGACGGAATGGACAACCACGTATATGAAGATGTCACTGGATGAGATGGACTGTGAGAGAGAAACGAAAAATAGGCAGATCTTCGTAAACCTATGTGCATTCAACAAATTGTTTATAGGCGACATAATATTCCCAAACAAACACATATACAAAGCCACATGGATCCGACCGGATCACATCACGGAGAATCAGATACTTACTTACTTACGCCTGTTGCTCCTAATGGAGCATAGGCCGCTGACCAGCATTCTCCAACCCACTCTGTCCTGGGCCTTCTTTTCTAGTTCCATCCAATTCTTGTTCATTTTTCTCATGTCTATCTCCAGTTCTCGGCGTAATGTGTTCTTTGGTCTTCCTCTTTTCCTTTGACCTTCAGGATTCCATGTGAGGGCTTGTCTTGTGACGCAATTGGGTGCTTTCCTCAATGTATGTCCTATCCACTTCCAGCGCTTCTTCCTGATTTCTTCCTCCACTGGGATCTGGTTTGTTCTCTCCCACAGTACGTTGTTGCTAATAGTGTCCGGCCAATGGATCTGAAGTATTTTGCGTAGACAACTGTTAATAAACACCTGTATTTTCTGGATGATGGCTTTCGTAGTTCTCCAGGTTTCTGCCCCATACAGTAGAACTGTCTTGACATTTGTATTGAAAATCCTGACCTTGGTGTTGGTTGACAGTTGCTTTGAGCTCCAGATGTTCTTCAGTTGTAAATATGCTGCTCTTGCTTTGCCGATCCGCGCCTTCACATCTGCATCAGATCCACCCTGTTCATCAATGATGCTGCCCAAATATGTAAAGGTTTTTACATCTTCCAAATCTTCTCCGTCAATTGTGATTGGATTGGTGCATGCTGTGTTGTATCGGAGAATCCTGCTTTTCCCTTTGTGTATGTTGAGACCTACTGCTGCTGAGGCTGCTGCCACACTGTTTGTCTTCTCCTGCATCTGTTGTTGCGTTTGGGATAGAAGAGCCAGATCGTCTGCGAAGTCTAGATCATCCAACTGCATCTTAGATGTCCATTGTATCCCGCGCTTCCCTTCAGACGTTGACGTCTTCATGATCCAGTCGATCACCAGGAGAAAGAGAAAGGGTGAGAGTAAGCAACCTTGCCTAACACCGGTCTTCACTTCGAACGACTTTGTCAACTGTCCTCCATGCACAATTTTGCAGTGTAATCCATCATATGAGTTCTGTATGATATTGACTATCT